GGGGCGTTCCTCCCAATCACGCCCCTCCAGGTGTCACTGTCGCTGCCCACGTGGGCGTTGAAGTCCCCCAGTAGAACAACGAAGTCCCCAATTGGGGCCTTTTCCAGCACCCCTCCCAGGGACTCCAAGAAGGCCGGGTACTCTACACTGCCATACAGCTCGTAGGCACAGACGACAGTGAGAGACCTATCCCCGACCCAAAGGTGCAGGGAAACGACCCTCTCATTCACCAGGGTGAACTCCAACACAGGGTGGCTAAGCTGAGGGGCTATGAGCAAGCCTACACCAGCCGGCCGCCTCTCACTGTGGGCAACTCCAGAGTAGTAGAGAGTCCAACCTCTCTCGAGGAGTATGGTTCCAGAGCCCAAGCTATTCGTGGAGGTGAGCCCGACTATCTCTAGCCGGTACCTCTCAACCTCCTGCACAAGCTCGGGGCCCTTCCCCACCCCACCAGCGAGGTCACATTCAATGTCCCCAGGGCTAGTCTCCATGATCGGGCCACCAGGGCCCTTGCCTTTGACTGCTGCCCGATCCACTGTGCACCAGCCCCTTATGGATCTTCCTGCAGGTGGTGGACCCACACATATTTATTTTATATAATCCGCCTGTTTAAATAATCAATTATATTTGACTTTCTTAATAGAGGAGGAATTAAATGTGACCTATATAACTTTTTGTGGGTATGTGGAACTTCACAAATACAGATACCCTTATTTTATGGCTGTTTTTACTATATATTCTAATACTCTGTAGTAATTTTACTATTGTGTACCTAATCTGGAACCACCAAGACCTCCATGAGCCTATGTACATTTTCATTGCAGCCTCGTTACTGAACTCTGTTCTTTTCAGTACTATCTACCCAAAGCTGTTGATTGACATTTTATCTGAAAAACAAGTAATAGCTTACCGTGTATGTCTGACCCAATTTTATGTTTTATACTTTAGTTGGTTCACAGTTCTTACTGTTGGCAACCATGGCCTTTGACAGATACAGTATGTGTCTATATATAAACCTCTGCAATAGCCAACCATCATGAGGAAAAAATTTAGCAGTATCATTCTTGTTATATCTTGGCTTGTGCCTGCTTGTCTGAATATGGGATTAGCAACAATGAGCTCTAATCAGCTGCTCTGTAGCTTTACTCTGAAAGTCATTTTTTGTAATAACTCAATTTAAAAAAAAAGTGTCTTCAAGAGCAATAACTATATATGGTCTGTTTGTTTTCGTAAATGTTGTAATTTTCATAGTTTTCACATACAGCAGGATGCTTCAGAATCAGAATCTGTTTTATTGGCCAGGTGTGTCAGACACACGAGGAATTTGACTCTGATACATCAGCTTTCAATGTGCATGTACATATCCCCATGCAAGGGGCAAGTAAACAGTAAACCAGCATAAGGCTGTGTAATATAACAAAATAAGCAGTATTAACAAGCAACAAACAGTGCAAAATAAGCAGTATACTTCCTGAAGTCCACTGT